CAAGATATTTTGTTTTTCAAGATTCATATAATTCCATCCTAACTGTAGAAACAGATTCTTTGTATATCTGAATAAACACTATTACATGGATTTTATACAAGCTGCAATGGTCTGGGAGTTATAGCCGAACTGTAACAGACAACAAGGCAATTATGGGTATTAACAATTGTAACGGAAATCTCATTAATTTGCTGTAACTGTCATGAATATGAAGAGTCTCTAACACTAACTTTGCTTAATTTTCGAACCATCTCAAGGCGAATTGTATAATTTTCTTTTCAAAATATTGCAAGAACGCAATGGTTTTTTTTAATAGGTTTGTTTGGGTTTTTGGCTTGTGTCTATCTGTTCTTTATGCATTAGTAGCTGTATCCCAAAGCCAAAGGATTCCAAGCTTTTGAAGATAACATTAATGGCTACATTCCAAGCTTTTTTTTAAAAGATAACAAAGGAATATAGTGAAGAAAAGAAAAAGAACAAGTCAAACTTGAAAAGAGGAAAAAGAATGTAACCAAGTTTGGAATTTTTGCTACATTAGAAGGAGAAAGAACTTGAGTTGAACTGAAAACCCATGTTGTGAAACTGGAGAAAAATTATATAATCTTCAAGCTCATGTTGTGAAAGAGAGTACATACCAGTTCTTTTTGGCTTGCCATCATCATCTACTTCTCCATCTTCCACCTTTTTGGGAGGATATTCAGAGCCACTTTCACATAATTCATTCTGAAACTCATGATCAAGCGCAGTGATCACCATGTTTGCTCTAGATAGCTAGGCACCTCTTTGTCTTCGTCGCAAAGCTAATTAAGCCAAGACCCACAAAACCGCCACTCTCCCAAAAATGGCACAATGCTACACTACCTTGTATTCTTTCATGAACAGATGCAAAGCCTAATTAGCCCCTCCCTTATATTTTGATTAGCTGGCGTGGCATCGTGTTATTCGATCAAAAGTGATTAACAACCCTACTTTTGCTCTTTTTTAATGCATGGAATCATAAATTTCATCTCTCCATGGTGGCCAGATGGAGAAAGGCGTAATTGTAACGCTCAGACTTACTAGACACATGTAAGAAGTGAGAGAGAGAAGAAAACTAACCAGAAGAAGCAATTTCCAAATCTCACGGCAAAAAGAACAGTCCAAAGTGTAATAAAAGAAACAAAATAGCATTAAATTACTCTTAAGAGTTGGAGAAAAAAAAAGTATTTTCCTTCCTATATCACACCAAATATTAATGAGGATATTTTAGGAAGAAAAAAAATTGACAAAGTATGACTTATCGAGTAAGTTATGAAAAGTTGCTTAGACCATTACAAATTTATGGACTTAAATGACATTATAAAGTAAGACTGTTTAGTGTCCATTTGGCATTGCTTATTTAGGGTAATAAGTGATTTTAAAAAAAAATTGGGAAGCTCAGCATATTTGGTAAACTATGAGAAAATCATTTATTGTTAAAATTTGATGTGAGAGAAAACAATAAGAGAAAACAGCTAATGAGGTGCTTTTATTTTCTGATTATGCAGGAATTGGTACCAACAACACTTTTAACAAAAAGTTTACCAAATGTAGTCAAACTGCTTTCTCTCACAACAAATCTAACAACGATTATTTTCATAGCACATCAATGCCAAACTGGCCCTTAATCTATTATAATTCATATATGTGAGGATTTGAATAATAAAGAAATGAAGAAAACAAATGAATTTCAAATGATTCCTTGCATATCGTCATTTCAAATACATCCAACGTAATGTGATTTTTATTTTTGTAGTAAATTTAGCATTTTTGTTAAATTCAAATTCCTCCATCCAAATCGGTGATTGGAATATGTTAACTGTTTTTTTAATTATATATTGTAATTGATTAGTTGTGGAGCTGAGTTGATAATTAGTTTAAAAAGATAGTTTGATTGGCGCCAAGATTGATTAGTTAGTTAGTGGCTGCTTAGGCCAGCTAACCAGTTTATAAGCTTGGGTCACTATTGGATTGGTCATGTTGTAATTGAGTTGTTACTTGTTAATAGAAAGTTATTTGCAAGTGGGTATAGCTCAGTTGGTTGCACTCTTCTATCTTCACTCATGTGGGCAGAAGTTCGAAACCACCCTCCCAAATCGCTTCTACTTAAAAATAAAAAAATATTACTGCCTTTGCTTGAATCAAGGTCGAAGGAGTCTATTAAATGGGCATGAATTTCTAATTTTCAAATTAAGGATCTTTTCATATTTCATCGAACCTTAACAAGCCTAAGCATGCCACTCGGCCAAGAAATAGAAACCAGGTCCAACGAGCAGAGGGTCAAAAACAGAGCAAGGCCCAAACAGAGCAACAAGCCCAAAGACTGACAGAACAACAACCACGTAAAGTCACTCGTTGATCGAAATTTCTACATCAGCAAGGATCATTGGAAATAAAGGAATATATATATATATATATATAAATATTTAAAGTGGTCTGGAAAAAAAATTAATAGCCAACAGTAGCTTAACTAATTATACTTCTTAATTTTATGGGTAGTTGGCAATGGTATGAATATGAGCTTGAAGAGATTAAGGCAAGGTGGTGTAAATCATTATTTGAAAGGCAAAAGCTACCATTTATTGATTCTATTTTTTCCATAACACTTTTACCTAATTGTAACCAATGAAAATGACAAACCCATAAATGGTGGAGAAAAACTTTCATACACCTGTTTCATTGCCTCCTTCTTATATCTCTCTTCTCATGTCACTTATCAAAAGAGGAGAGAGATATAAAGAAAGGGACATTGAAATTCAACTTTTTAAATAAAGATTAGAGTTCCATGGTCCACCCAATAAATCATTGTCTACAAGCTCATCAAGCAAGCCTAGTTTAATTTTGGCTTCACTTCACTCTTTATATTGGAAGAGCTTGTAAGTATTGAGGCTCTTATAAATACCATGAATGGCACCAGATGCTGCAGCCAAGGAAAGAAGCAAGCACAGAAAGCTCAACAAGTGGAGCCCAAACCATCGAATTGTTAGCTTCCCAATCTTCTTTTGCTCAATGTGCATCTCCAATGGGATGTAGATTATAAGTGGCCAGTAGCCAATGGCTCCAAGAAGGGCAAGCATGTCTGAGAAGAAAGGCAGAGCAATGGCAACAAATGTGACTACCACCCCATAGGCTGTCCTCCATGACAGCCTGAACATGTTGATGTTGAAACTCATCTTCCCAATTCTAACTGGGGTCTCTCTGTTTATGAACTTAGACCTTTTCCACCTCCTTCTAGCTAATATTTCAACAATTCGGAACACTGGTTGGCAAAGTATCTGTAGGAATAACAATATACGTTAGATTTGTTCAATAGCAGTTTTGTACGTTATGTTGTTAAATTGTCTATCTAGACTATGTACTAAAACAAGATTCCACCTAATCGATAGGTTGGATTGACAGTCTAAAAACAAAACATGTCCGACTATCTACTAGAAGAAAATCTTATGCACCTGATATGCACCAACTATGTGCACCACAATGAAAACATTGGCCATATCAACTAGCCAGAAGGCCATATCATCTCCAAAACCAGCTAGAAGATTTTCTGGGGTCTTATCTCCAAAGGCAGCATAACCCAAGGAACCACACATCAAGAACACTATGATCATAACCAAACCCCCAATTGAGACAGCCTTTTTCATCACTTTGTTTTCTGGTGGCGATGATTTTAGTGTGTCCTGATAAAAATAAAAAATAAAAATTCAAATGCATGCAATGTTTAAGCTAAAACAAAATAGAAAAGCCTCTCTATTTTCAACAGAAGAAAAGGCAAGAATTAACTTGGCAAATTGGCATGTCTTACTTGGATATCAAAAAGCACCAGAGCATATGAGCAAGCAAATGCAATATCTCCAGCTGCTACAAACATCCTCCAAATTTTCTCAGATGAAGATAGGTCCACTCCTGCAACAGTGGGTTTTCCTCCATGCCCTGCTCAAGCAAAATTTTTATTATAATTTTATTTTCTGGTGTCCATTTTTCATTTTGGGGAGATTGGTTTCAACATTTTGTGGATGGACAACTTACCCGTTATGATTTTTGAAAGGGAAAGTCCAATTCCGATAAAGGCATACCCAAAAGACGTAATTGCTGCAAGCTTTGAGAGCCAAGAGATCTTGTGAAAGTTTGAGAGTTGAGATAAAAGAATTTCAACAATTCCAAATGCAACCACGTGTGGAATATTGGAAAACATGCATGGGGCATCACCCCCACTTTTGCGATGGCAATGCGATTTCTGTATAGCCCTAAGTACTCAAATGCACACAAGAACTCGAATTAATTATAATGCATCATATATATTGACACAGCGATATTTCTCATCACTTTGTTCCAAGAAAATGAACTTACACCATGCTTTTTGCTGTGGTGATGGTAAAGCCGACTCCAATTGTAGCGAGATTTAAATACACCATCCATCCACAGAATTTGTAAAATATTGTTCCACCTTTATACATTAACGAAATAAAAACATAAAATCTATCAACAAAAATTGACCATTGGAAAATAAGAGCGAGCAATATATCCGAAATGAGTTACCTAAATTGGCTTTGACAGCTTCCATGTAAGAGTAATTTCTGTTGCCTGTAACTGGGTCTGGAAATCTATAGCAATCTGCTAAGAGAGTGGCAGCATAAAGGGCAGCTAAGGAGCAAAACAACATAGTGCAAATGCCAGCAACCCAACCAAGCTGAGACATTGCCCATGCCAGAGAAAGCACCCCAGCACCTATTGATGTTGTGATTATATGTGCACATGCAGTCCACACAGTCCCTGCAAATATATACATAAACATAAGGGAAAAAAATGAATAAATATTACTTATTTCATCTGCAACATGTTTTGTTTTTCATTTTTCTCTTTTCTGAGTTCATATAAGTCCATAATTTTGCTTTTCAAAATATTGCCAAAACACCCAAGGGGTTTGGTCTAGTGGATAAAAGCTGACTAGGTCCACAAGTTCGATAATGCATTTGTAACCTTGACTAGGGATGCCTGTATTCCCAACTGGTGGTAATAACCCTAATGCGGTCAAGTAAAGGTATACGACTAACTCCCATTAGAGGCTAAAACAACAAGATAGGAAAATAACTCTGTTGGCACATACCTCCTTTGGAGTGATTCCCAAATGATCAAGTAGCATGTTTACTCCACTCCCTTTTGAGGTTCCTGCGGGAACAATTTCAAGGTGACCTGGTACAGCTTGAACAACTTTCGCACGATCTCCAGTTGCTTGTGACCAGTATGGCCTTAAAGTGGTAGCCACTACCTCAGGAGTGTCCAAGAAGAGTACTTTCTGTATATCCAGAAGAGCAACAATATATTAGTTTCATGATAGTGATACAGTTGATTAGAGACTGACGGAACTTCAATTTTCAACAATATTAAGTGTTATGAATAAAGAGAAATTAAGAGCAAAGCTCAGTGCGAGTGGCTTGCACATTTTCATAATGCATAAACCTGGAATGGTTTTGAATGTAAATTGAAAATAAACATCCCTAAAGTTAATCAAACCGGATGTAAATAGTCAGACCATAATGGCAATTGAACTTAA